CAGGAACTTCCAGTCTCAGCTGACTTATTTAGTTGAGCAAAGAGTTGCAGTGTCTTTGGAATCAGGAAATGAATGTGATTCGGAAAGAAAGGGTAGTGAAAGCAGAGATTTTGAAAAGATGGATTAAAAAATAAACATAAAAAGCACTGATTAGCCAATACAAGAATGAGGTATACAAAAACCAAAGTCATCCCCACGTAACACCAACAATAAATTAGAAAATGTAACGGGGCGGGTGGGGGGAGATGCAGCTCATGATAAGAACCAAAAAAGAATTTCTAAAAAACATTTAATACATGTGAAAAACTTTTATGAAGAAAAAAATCATGAGATGCTATGAAGAACATGTTGGAAGACCTAAAGAAATAGAGAGTAGGACCATGTCATGTTGAGCTGGCAAGACTAACTATCATCAAGTAATCTGTAAAATTCAATTGAATTCTAATAAAAATCCCAATGGGAGTCATCATGTAACTCAAAAAACTGGTCCTAGAATACATATGGAGGAGTAAAGGCTTAAGAAAAACCAGTAGCCCGGCCGGTGTGGCTCAGCGGTTGAGCATCGACCTGGGATCCAGGAGATCGGGGTTCGATTCCCGGTCAGGGCACATGCCTGGGTTGTGGGCCCGATCCCCAGTCGGGGGCGTGCAGGAGGCAACCAATCAATGACTCTCTCACCACTAATGTTTCTCTCTCTCCCGTTCCCTTCCTTTCTCTGAAATCAATAAAGATATATTAAAAAAAAAAGTCAATGTCATGAGAAATTAAAAAACAATGATCCAGGAACTTTGTAGATTAAAGGAAAGCAAAGAGATCTATCCAACAGAATGCAATGCCTGATTCATATTTGGACTCTGAATTGGGGGAAAAGCAAACAAATTGGATATAAAAGACATTATTAGGACAATGGGGGAAAATTGGTATTAGACATTTTTAATGGTTACTGGATAGTGGTTACTGGACAATATTGTATCAATGTTACATTTCTTGAGTGTCCCGACTGCGTGGGGCCATGTAGGAGAAGGTCTTGTCCTCTGGTGACAGATGCTGAGCTATTCAGGATGAAGGGCCTGCAATTTCCTCTCAAATGCCGTGTGAGGGAAGACGTGGAGCAATGGCAGCAAAACATTAACACTCGGGGAATTGAAGGGTTAAATGGGTGTAAATTACAGCAATCTTGCAACTTTTCTGTAGATTTAAAATTTTTCAAGATAAAATTTTGCCAAAAAAATGTGAATACTCTATGATCCAACGTTGCTATTTTCAATATAGAGCTTAGCATAAGTCAGATCCGCAGGGCGCAGTCTGAGCAGAGTAGGAATATAACGTGAGAAGTGATGGTATATATTGTTTATGGGTTCAAACGTGTAGCAGGAGCGTAAACTCTAGACTGGACACATCAGGTTCAAGGTCTGGTACCCTGTGGGCAGAGAAGGAAGGATGGAAGTAGGGCGGGAGAGAGGACAATGACGAATTTCAACTTAGTTGGGAAGGCCTTCATTCTTAAAAAAATATGTATATATGAAGCAAAAGCCAATATAGAAAAAAACAAAGAGAAAGAAAAAGAAAAATTCGTGACAGTGGTTATTTTGAGTGGGCCTGGGGAAGTTTCACTTTTAACGTTACACATTTCTGGTTTATTTTTTAATGTTTTCTTTTCTTCTCTCTGGTCATGAGAAAAAAAGCTCTACTATCTGTATTGTACCAAGGACTATACCGGTCAAACTAGGGGCTGCCACTCTGAAAAAACAAAAACAGAGTCCTCTGCGTCTAAGCTCATGGGAGTCTCTGGTTAGCTGTGTGACTTTGGCCAACCTCCTGGACCCCTGTCTGAAGGGCACTTTACCCTGGAGGGCTCATGTCTGTGTTAAACGGGATAAATCAGGTGTCGTGCTTGGCACAGTGCCTGGCACCCAGGAAGCACCCAGGAAATGTTGATACCACCATTATTACTGTTGGGGCTGCTGACACTGTATGAGATTCCCCAGTTGGCCTGGCTGGGCAGGGCACCCCTCTCCACGCTGCTGCTCTGGGCTTAGCTGTCCCCGAATTCCTGCGATGGTTTTGGTGGCAGGTTCATCCCTGTGCTGTCTCCACCATTAAACTCCAAGCAAGGAGCGCCCCCGCCCTATTCATCTCCGTACCCGGTGTCCTACACAGTAGGTCCTCAGGAAATTATTTTTGCATGCAATTGCTTGTGCACGACACCACCGAATTTCTAGCCACTGTTTCCCACCCTCAGAGCTCACTTCCAGGACTAGGTTGTTTCCTTGGTGGTGTCCATACCTCCCACCCTTCCTGCTCTCCTCCCCACCTGCTTTCCTGGGCATCTCATCCTCGGGGTCTGTGTTCATGGTCCTGCCTCTGCCAAAACTGAGTGCCCCAGGTACTCTGATAGTCAAGTTACCGAGCAGTATGTTAGATCCTTAAGAAAGTTCTGAGCTCGGGGCCCAGGTTGGGTGGTCACTCCAGGCTGAGGGATTAGCAAAGGCCTTGAAGCCGGATAAGGCTGTGACCTGGATAATTCAGGACTCCAATCTATACCCCCACTGGATTTTCTCAGTGACTGCCCAGGCCCCTTTGGCAGGAGCGCCAGCACCAGTCTCCAGGATTTGGCTGGACTTCCTGCGTGTGGAGGCAGCTGGGGGCTGAGCAGAGGCTGTGCCCAGCTGGGTCCAGGCAGAAGTCTCTCCTCACCACCTCCAGGCCTGTCTTCACCGTTTGCTCCCATTCATGGTGTTAAGATTCTGGAGCCCATGAGTCTGTTGGGATCTACAGCCTGAGGGCCCCAGTGTTGGGGCAGGAAGCAGGGAGCCAGCTGGGCTAGGACTCAAGACTCCCTGATGAGGCTGCTCATGGGAGCAGGCCAAGGAGGAGGAGCTGAGGCCAGGCCAAAGAGGTCAGTTACGGACACGGGGACTGCACAAACCAGGGAGGGGGAACCAGCCGGAGCTGGAGAGACAGGAGAAGGTGGGGTCCAGAGAGGGGTGGGCTAGGCACAGACCCTATTATAGGGGATCCCTTGGGATGCTGGGGTCCTTTACTCATAAGCAGTCAAAGCTTGTGAACTGTCTTATTCTCTCCCTTTTTTTTTTTTTAATTCCTCACCTGACGATATGTTTTTATTGATTTGAGAGAGAGAGAGAGAGTGAAACATTGATCGGTTACCTCCTGCATGTGCCCCAACCGGGGAGTCAAACCCAAAACCTGAGTATGCGCCCTGACCGGGGATTGAACCTGCCACCTTTTGGCTTAGGGGATGGCGCTTAACCTACTGAGCCACCCGGCCAGGGCAGCTGTGCTGTTCGTAAGACTGCAAGGCCGCACCTGAAGGGAAGGTGGAGGTTACCCAGACGACCACCTGTAAAATCAGGGCCAACGCTGGGCAGGGTCATAGCGTTAGAGTTGAGACTTGTGTTTGTGTTAATCTGAGGCCTTGCTGGAATTTCTTTTTAACTCAAACCACTCAAACATATTTGTCACTGGCAATAGAAACAGTCTACGTGTTTTTAACATTTCTTAACCTTCTGTGAGCATCCACTGCATACCAGACACTTTGGAACATGTAGAAAGAAATACAGAGATGGGGAAGATGCCATTTCTCACCCATAGAAAGACCTTTCCCCTCCCTTCCCCCATCTCTCTCAAGCCCTCCTCTCCTTCCACTCCCACCCCTCTCCCTAGAAGTCAGAGAGGCTTTGGGTTAAGTATATGTGGCCTTGGGAATCAAACCGATCAGGTTCAACTCAGAGCTTTGCCCCTTGCCAGCTGCGATGTGGCTGAGCCATTTCTTTTCCTTTGAGCCTCAGTGTCCTCACCTAAACTGCATGTGAGGACAGTCCCTACTTTGCAGAGTCCCCTAACCAAAGGGTGAAACGGAATAAGCATGCAAAGAATTTACCATTGTATCTGTGCTCAGTAAGGATTAACTGTTTCTATTGGTCATTCAACAAACTTTTTTTTTTCTTCCTGAGGTTGTGTGTTTGGGAAACTGAAAGAGCTTGCTTGAGGCTTCTTCTAGGAATGCCTTGGGGAGCAGGGTGATATAGAAGGTGAGGCTGGAGAGGGGGGCCAGATGATGAGGGTCCATGTGCCTGTGGGGCAGACAGGTGCCTCTGACTTTGGCAGCATGGGGTATGTGCGGCCACAGAGAAGACTGACTCAGAAACAGAAAGGAAGCTGTTACAGGCAGTTAGACAGACATGAGCAGAGCAAGGACGGTGGGCCAGGTACAGAAACTCACCAGGGCTGAAAGCCCCGGATGCCTAGCAAGGGGCAAAACTGGAAAAACAAGAACCTCCCCGCCCCCCC